GTCTCTCTGGCAGAAAGTGGGAGCGGCTAAGGCCCCTGGGATGGTGATGCCAAGCGAGCCCGCGGGGAGGGGAGGGAGGAGACCGGGAGTCAGACGCCAGGAGCCCGCGAAGAGACGCGAGGAACTGAGCACTCAGTCGCAAGAGGGAGTCACAAGAGGAAAGCGACCAGACAGACAGACAGACAGACACCCCGTGGCGAGCGGGAGGAGAGCGAGCAGAGGAGACGCGCGAAGGCTGAACGCCCCGCAGCCCATCCCCGATCCGGAGCCACGGGTCCCGGGCGTGTGTGCGTGTGCTTGTGCGTGTGTGTGTGTACGCGTGTGTGCACACGTGTGTGCCCGAGGGCAGCGCCGTGCCCGCAGCCGGGCACGATGAGCGCGGCCAGCCGGCTCTGCTCGGGCTACTACAGCTTGAACCGCAGCTTCGTGGAGTCCTTCCAGTGCCCCCGGCCGGGGGACGGGGCGGCGCTGCTCTTCTGCTGTGGCTTCGCCGACCTCAAGTACTGCTGCAGTGAGCCGGGCAGCTACTTCCCCTACAAGCACGGCTACATGTGGAGCCTGAGGTGGGCAGGGCCGGGGGCCGGGCTGGGGCGCGGCCGGGGAGCACGGACCCGGGGACGCCCCGGCCCGGACCCTTCTTTTGAGATGCGAATGGGAGAGAAGTTGCGAGCAGATCACTCGCAGGGGTAGTTTGCTTCGGGGCTTGTTTTGATGTGGGGTTCATTTGAATAGAACGCGGCTCCTTGGGGCTCATTTGAAGGCATGACCCCAGGGACAGAGGGTCTTCAGTGTCTTTGTGGATGCTGGAGGGATTCACTGTGCTCTTTAAAGTATCAGCAAGGTGTGCGTGTGTCTGTCTGTCTCTATGTGTCTGTGGATGTATGCGTGTGTGCACTGACGCCTGAGCTTTATAATGTACACGTTATAATTACAAATGTCCTGACATTGACTCTGAGCCTAAGAACCTAATGCGAGAAACACCCACAGAGTGGTGTTGTATTTACATAGCTACCTTCCGAGCCTGACCCATTTGACCATTGCTGAAAAGTTAAGAATTTCTAAGGTGTAGTCTTTCCGATTTCTTTTTCCTAGGGAGGAAATTGATTTCTTTCGACTAGTATTTATGCAAACATTTTTATCACAGAGTGCTTTCACTCTCCCCTCCTCCACCCCAAATGATTGTAAACTTTTAACTTGAGTTTTTGGTGTTGTTGTTTTTTTCATTTTGCCTCCTGAATGAATGAGTCTTCAAGATTGTCGGAGAGAGCCCTCAGGTCTGTGGTCCACTCTCCCTTAAAACTAGCTCAGGGCTGGACCCCGGGGGCCTCTGCTAGCCAGAGAAAAACACGATTGCTCCGAAGCTCTTAGCAGGGTCGGCAGTTTGGCAGACATGCCAAGTCTACAGCAAATGACTTTCAAATAACATGCCTCGAAGCAATGAAAAAAAAAACATTTAAAAAATATATTGTAAGCATCATAGAAATTGCAGGAGTGCCCACCTATTTGTAAACTCAACCCACAAAGCTGTATTGTGCTGGAGTGGAGCAAAACGTCTGGAAGAAAACAACAACAGGTGATCCTTAGGGTTAGTGATGATTTGGAGAAGAAATCTGTAAGGCACTGGCATATGATCTGGCCTTTGGGAAAGTAGCCTAGCAATTTGAGTCTTTGGAGGTGTGAATCTAGTGGTGGAACCACCAAGGGAGACTGCCACTCAATTGGAAATTATGCCTGGTATTCTCAGATTCCCAAATAGCTCCAAAGTGACAAGAATTGCAGGGTCTGAGAACTTCCTAAGATTTTCTTTGGTCTTAAATTTTATTTGTTTATCTTTGAACACATTCATTGGCATGTAATTCACATAGAATACAATTCAATTACATCAAGAAGTGTCAGACAACTACCTTCTTGAGACGTATGAGGGGCTAACGGAGTGAAAAGCATGCTGGAGTGTTCATTCAGCACCACAAAATGGGACAGCGCAGCACCATGACCCCTTATCTTTCCCGGGAAATAGGAAAATCAGTTCACCAGAGGTGTCAGTTAGCAGAGTGGGGCCTGGGGTTCTTCTGAGTGCACAGTGGGGTGATAAATATATTAGAACCTCATTTCACACAAGTTCATTGCTTTCCACCCCGCATTTAAAATAGTCCGAGTGAGGAAAATATTTCAGGAGTCACTAATGTTTGTTCTGAGGTTTTGTGGCTGCAGGAGAAAGGCACAGCTGGAATTATCACAAGGAAAGAAAAGTCGCTAAGTAGTGGAATCACTGTATTAATGTGATGTCAGCCTTAGGTTCCTTTGTTCTTAGGCCTTCGGAAACCATGGCCATGGTGCTTTCAGGAAAAAATAATTCTCCT